TGGAATTTTATTACGATGATGTGTATAGGCCACACTTCACTATCACTCGTTGAATCACCTTCAGCAACCAAGTGTGACTAAATACTTATTTAACTATTTCTGATATATTCTAAACATGCCCTTACAGGTTATAAGTAACTTTACCGTCTGTAATAGCAGATACGTGTTTCTTTATCAACAATCCCACTATAAATGTGATTTGGGATAGGCCTGACTCGTCTTTAAAGTCTCTTCTGTAAAACACTGTCATCCGTGGCTGTATAGGGGACTGCTATTGTCACCACAATGGGAACGACCCGGTTTCTAATCGTGTTGGGAAAGTTTCTGAGACTTAGGCGAGATCGGGGATATAGTACATCCTGGGTTGGTAAACCATTTAAGAGGCAAGGCTAAGTGTTATCTATTGACATCATTGTGAGGATAATAAAAATCTCAGTACTTAAATCAGCCTAAGCAACCTTGGAGTACGTAGTAGTTATTGAAGAATCACTTACTGTTTACAAACATACTAACACAAAATATATACATGTATTGGCTTGGTTCTTTCTGAAATTATAGAGAGTATAATCACGACTCGTAAATGAGAAGTCTTCGATGATAATTGCTTTTTGAGATGCAATGTGACGTGAATGTAATTAAAGAATTAAAGCTTAATCGCGGACGAAACAAATTTCAATTGTTTTTTTTCGTTTTGAGTAGGCGTTCACTTAAACAAGAACCCACTCGAAATTATGACTTCTCAACGAAATTTCTTGTGAGCTGCATTATTATAACTGCTTCCCAACATATAAACATCAGAAGTCTCTTGCTTAGCAAGAATATTTGTATTCTGAGGAGTCCAAAACATACTTCATATAAAACAGCTCAATTTTGTGTTCTAGACTCAGCTTAGCTCCTGCAATACAACAAACAATAGGTGGCACCTAGTTAGAACTCTTTCATGTCCAGCTAAAAGATATTCAAACAGACCAAACTACTCAAGAGCCGATTGCAACGCCACTAAAATCACCCCCTGACACCAGTCCGATCTTGGCTCCCGAAGGCTTCATCTCGTCATACTGGTTGCTGGCATCTGCAAGTCTGATTGTGGCAACGAGATGAGAAAGCAGCTGGGCCCGCCAGCAAGCAGCTGAGGCATCTCTGTCTTTGTCCCAGTTTTGGAAAGGCAGCTTTCCCTTGTTACAAAGACACCCTTCGAGAATATCCAGACGAAGAAGGATGGTAATCAAATGGGCCGACGCGACTGGGTCTGACAAAAAGAGAAGAAGATTCTTGTATATGCACAATTCCGTTTCCAATTGAGAGCTAGCAGACATTAATGCAAACGTTCTATAACACATGCAAACAATATATGGGTACAGATGTGTGTGTCGATTTGTGACTCTTGTCCACTTCTTCCTCACCTGAACGGAGGCGAGAAGAGGGCCCAAGGTGAATATGTCTCTCTCCTGCATAATAATGAAACGTCCTTCTGTTTGCATGTGTTGAGACGAAGGAAGAAAGAAATCCATCAACAGGAAAATGAAATTTATGCGAGCATAAACTCCGTCGACTTATTATACGCATAAATAGCCCTGTGCCTGCCCCCCAGATGCAGATTCGGGGGTAGGGAGTGCAGCCAGTCCTCAATCAGGTGCCTCAACCTACCAACATCAGGCAGACTGGCAGAGAGGGCGACGTTAGACCGAAAAGGCTCGGGCATTTGGACAAACGGAGGGCAATCGGTGCTGGCCAGGAGACGGCAGACAACCGCCCGACGGGCATGCGCCAACACCCTTGGCAAAAAGGGAAAGCTATCCTTTTCAGCAAAAGAAACGTGTCGCCGCGCTAACCCATGCTTGCGTTCAGTCGAGTCAACTGGTCTGGCATGCAAAATAGGGGATCGAAGAAAAGAAGATATTCAAAGTGTGTAGTTCAAACTGGCATGTGTGCGTGTATGATATGCATATGTGTATGGGTATATGTGAGGGAGATAAGTGCGGAGGGATTTTTAGTTGGTGGGATGATGGCACACTTTTGTGCAGAAGCTTGTATTATGGCTTTGCCTTCTACATTGGTTCCGAATGTTCGAACAGGTCAAGTAAAGTCGACCAGAGGGACTCGAGCAAACGGTAGATCTCTACTAAGTCTTTAGTCAAGCGTTCGCTCACTCTCCTCTCGTTTCTGTACGTCAGGTCGTTTGGCGGGCACTCGTTCCTTGAGCAGAAATGGGTGGCGACCCACTGCAGTGACCCAAGGGGCAACATCAATCAATGAATGATTCGGGGTTTCTGAAATATCGAGGAGTGTTGACTCGACGGTGGTGGACTCGATCTTAAATTCGTCAGTCGCTGTCTGGATGGCGAAGTTGAGGGAGGAAGGGCTGCGAGAAGTCCTCAATTAGTGTTGAGGGTCTGAGGTGCGAGAGGAGGAGGCAAGTTTGCCCTGGTGATTGGGGCGATGAAGTTGTCTTGTGCTGATCAACATTTGGCCAGCAAATGGTCAACACGAGCTGTGCGCTTGTGTTATGGAGGTGGGAGGAGGTGATGTCTGCGATTAGCTAGAGGAAAGAATTTATCGTTTTGCGACCCGAATTCTGAGTGAATGGGCACAATTAATCAAATCAGCCTTAGGGGATAGGGGCGGGGCAACTTAAACTGTGCGCCATTTGGTCTGAATTGGCGCGAATTTTTCATCGCATGGCGGTAGGCCATTTTAGCATCCAGCAGAAGGTTTGCCGTCTTTTCTATGATGTTGTGGGGTGTGTGAAGACTTGTGATGGGATAAGGAGAATTGGGGCGGCTGGACGACAGTTGCCCCGGTGGGATCGACTGGCTTGCTCCCATCATCGTAAGGGGGACAGAAGGTTGCCGACCGGGCAGCAGCGAGCCTAGGCTTGGAAGACTAGAAAAATAACTCACCCTCCAGACGGCTAAATGAAGTAATTTGTCTCGCGCTCTGAGCCAGGGTTGATGTTGAGAGGGGACGGCAGAGTGGCGCATAGGGTTTAGTCCGAGATTTCATTAGAGAGCAAGAGAGGTGGAAATGCGTCGGGCGTAAAGATGCCCCTTGTCCTATGTCGGCCCCACAACCTCACTTAGCGCCACCAACCACCCAACCAAACAGCCAGGCAACTAACTTTTGCAACCAGACCTCGAAACCAGCTCAGTTGCATGGCCAAAAGACTCGGGAAAAGGTGCTCACATACGAAAATGTGTCTATAAGCCAGATGGTATTTGAGAAAGAAGCGGAGCGCATTTATTTCAATCTGGTGTTCGAAGGGTGTTGAGGCAGTCGGGTCAGTTGTAAACGCCGGGTCAACCAACCAAAAGGGGGGGAAGAGTTCCATTTAGGCATCCATGGATGAGTGGGGACACCTTTCCTATGTGATTTAGGGGCTATTTGGGTTCGTGAGGGAAGAGCCTGCTGACTAAGACTGATTCAGAGATTCACAGAAGAGCCAGGATTTCAAGCACCAGTCGGGAGGAGGGCATTGTTTCACATCAAAGCCTGGGATACAAAAATGGGGCAGCTCTTATTGCACAATTAGGTCACTCGCTGATCGGGTTATCGAATCAAGAGTCGAATCCCACTCATTTTACGATCTTTACGATGATATGACTTGATCTCTATGATTTTACTTCACAATTAACTAAATAGACGGGGTACTTCTGGGGCCCAGCATAAGGAAGCATAAGGAAGTTGTCACTCAAGGAAATATGATAACAACTGGGTTTAGAAGAATCCTTTATTCATGTCATTACCTTGGATCTTTCATTTTGGCTGAAAAGTTGGATGTAGGGGCTTCATAAATTGGTTTATCAGAAATCGCAGGACGATGAGCCTATAACTTTTAAGCTAAAATAAATATTGACATCTGACAAGCATTCTTTTTTCGATTTATGGTGAGGTCACTACGAATTTCCTTCAAATATTTTTCATATGAAATGGAAGTGATAGTTCGGCTACAACATTCATTGGTCGATTCGACGTTCATTAAAAAAACTTTTATAGCGAGGTTCATCTTACATAGATAATAACTATTTTAGCAACATACTGCGACCTTTAGTATGGTCTCGGTCTCTTTTCGTTACTTAAAAGTTGTTTGACATTGCTTTTACAACAAGGTTTCCCTGACAATATGACCAGGTTGCGAAAACAAATTCTAACAATTTTAAATAACACTTTTGTTTCAGGGATAATATAAATTTAATTCTTATTGAGTACCATTTTCAGGGTCCAAATTAAGCTGAGAATTCAGGTGAGACGGGTTGAAATTGCAGTCCAGCCTTTTTTAGCATAGTGACATAATATTGTTGGGAGACCTTAATTTTGTATGAAGGTGCATGAAGTGGTGATTCTTAGGTTGATATCACCAGAAGACGAGGGATAAATCCCATTGTCCTGCAGCCGTTTTGCCTTAATAGGACGTTCAGGTTGATACAGTCACAATATATCCTTCCTCGCTTCGGGTGTAAACATATCCCCTAATCCATTAATTTGGAATCTTCTCTCTTATTTTCCTTTTAACAGCAGACATACCATAATCAGCAAACCTACTAGTTTGAGACCATTCTTTTTCATGCCCACTTTCTACCTTGTATTCGACCACTTCTGATTGTTGGGCACAGCTCCCTTTATACGCATTTTTGTGCTTTCCTAGTCTTTGTCAAATGGGCCTGCATGTCTCACGAACAAATGGCCGACCATAGGAACACACAATCTTGTAGCAGCTGGACCTCGAGAATGGGTCATATTTCTCTCTAAAAGAAGGCATAATCTAGGAAAGTGTGAGGGTTTATCTCAACATTGTTTTTATCCCCCCTTTTTCATTAAGCCGCCTCTCTTTTTTGAATGAAGGCATGACGGCAAATTTAGGAGATGAGAAAAGGTCTCCACTTGTCTATATTTGACTAAATAGTCTTCGTCTCAAAATTTATTCCTCAGTAATGAGATGTCAACAATTAGGCCTAAAGGATGATTATTTGTAAGAAATAAATTTTTCAGCCATCCCAACTCTTTAGTAAAATTGTTGATATCCGCTAGTCTAATACTCTTAATAAGCATTGACATCAAAATTA